GCAAATTGGTTGTAGTAGGGATGGTAGGGCTGGTGGTGGTTGGGCTGCTGCTGCTGCTGGTGGTGGTGGTTGGGCTGCTGGTGGTGGTGTTGGTATTGGTGCTCCAGCTACTAGAGAAGATGTTGGTGGTGCTGCTGCTGGTACGGATGGTGATGGTGGTGACGGCGTTGCCGATTGTGACTGAGATTGTGATGAAGACTAAAAAAACCAAAGTTAGATAAATTAGCTCAATAAAAGTATTTGTTGATCAAACTTGGTGAAAAGGATAGAGATAAAGATAAAGGATAAATCATTCTGATTTGAAGATTATTTTAAAATTATAAAGAAAAAAGGAAAAGTAGAAAAGTAGAAAAGAAAAGGGAATTGAGAAAGAGAAATAAGAAAAGAAAGAGAGGTAAAAATTAGGTGGAAGATTTACTTTTTGTTTTTAGATTTTTAATCAAAAGAAATAAATTTGATTGCATATATTTATGTTGATGAATATAAATTTATTAAAAATTTAGAAGAGAAAATATTATGTGTATTTAATTTTTTAATAATTACCATTTTTTTAAGTCACTCGTCGAGAGTAGGAAATAGGGAGTTGGGTGAAAAAAAAAAAAAAGGAAAATGTATTTTTACAAGAAGGAAAATGGTATGTTATTTTGAGAAATTAATCACCCAAGGAAACGTTGGAAAAAAAAAATCAATAAATAATGAAAGTAAAAGTATTTTACACAGCCCTTTATTTTTGGTTGATATTAGAAATTATGGAACTTATGAATTGGTTTAAAACAAATATGCTTGTTTTATAAAGAAAAATGGAGCCATTCACGTGACCATAGCGCTATACAAAATTATACATGGTCCAATTTTATCAATTGATTAAAGGCCAAACTGTAGTCATGAGTCATCGCAATTCTACAATGTAAAAAAATTTCTCTTTGTCATTTTTTGTTGTTATCAAAACTTTAAAATTTACAAAAAGCTGTCCCAAACCTGTTTTATGTCCATGTAAAAAATAAAAATGCCGTACTACTGCAGAAATTGGAAATATATATATTCATAATTTTCATTATCCGCAAAATGCAAGCTGCATGCATCGCATTGTAATATAGTGACAATAATGATTGTTTTTTAATTGTTTTTATCATACATTTGCAGTCGTTAATAAGTATAAATTAGAAACCCCATTGTAATAATAATGTTGCACTCGCGAGTTAGCGCGTTATTTGCATGTGCACAAAATTAATATTTTAAATTTTAGCAAATTTCAGAAAAATTCATTATAGGAAATTACAATTGAATCTTAAAAATCATTTCTGATGCCATTGAAACTATCAACGATTCTCTATTTGGCAGATTACGAAGAAGTGGTTAATGGTCGGTTTTTAGTAGGGGGTGGTCAGGTTAGATGAAAATGAAGTTGCTCAGGAAATAAAAATAAAATTATATGACCTGTTGATGATTTATATGAATGCTATTTTACCAAGGAACATTGCTAAAGGAAATGTGTTATCATAAACTCTGGTTTTGAACAAAATACTCTTAAAGTAAGAATTATATTAAAAATTTTTTTTTATTTATTGTCATTAAGAAGTTCTAGTTTTTGAACCAGAAATTCTGCCTATATTCCTCATTAATGTTGTACCACAGCACAGAAAGTCAAATATACTAATGTTTGGGAGGCAATTTTAAAAAAGATTTAAAAAAATAAGTAATTCATGTCATAAAGATTCATGTCATGCATTTTCTTTCCCAGATTGCTTTCATTAGTCGGAAATGAAATATATTCAGAATTGCATAATTTATCATTTGTTAATGGAGTTCCAAGAAATTATGCAAATATTGCCTTTTACCTGAACAAGAATGAGAAAATGATTACAAGCAAATAGTGATATATAAATAATAACAACAATAATAAGAACGTTTCTTCCACAAACCAACAAGATGTTGCTATTTCTTTATTAAAAGAAAGTGAAAATAATTTGCTAATTTTTTTATATTATCATATTATTAATTTTAAAATATCAGTGACAAAGTCATAAAAGTACAGACAAAATTATTCTACTGTAATTTTGTTGATAAATTATAATGAATAAAAAAAATATAAATGATTGATATAATTTAAAATATAATTATCAGAAGGGAAGACATTGAATAATAATCAAAATATCCTAACGAATGTTAAGGTTTTCGCGTCTACTGAATTTTTGCCAAAAAGCAAAGCAATTCGACTGAAAATTTTTTGACAAAAGTTTCGGTCGATCACCACAAATCAAACAATTCCGCAAAACCAAACATAATAAAAATATAAATAATTTCGCTGCTTAAGTTCTCAAAATAAGCATGCATCTTTTTAGACATATAAATGTCAAACCTAAAATGGCATATTTTACAATTGTTAAACTTATTTTGACCTGAAAAATATGAGAACCTGCCAAAAAATTTTTAATTGCTCAAAACTTAGATAGCAACGATCTCCAAAATTTGATATGTGACAAGTTAGGTTTGAATTTGATAAAACGTGCCGCATATGTTTTTGTTAGTCACTTTTTTTTTAATAGTTTTCACTAAAATTAAAAAATTTAAAGTTTAAAAGGATCCGCACGCAGTCAAACCATTGGACTTTATAAAAAGGAATACGCACGTTTCCGCGTATTTCTAAAGCACTTAGCCTTTCTAGAACTACTATAGTTTGAATGATAAAATCCTTCCAGAAGGATTGAAGAGTTACTATGAAGTAGAACTGTTATTGCAAATAATGTGCAGACAACAAAACATTGTCTCTGTGGATAGTTCCTTTATTATTTGCATTATAAATCATCAAAATTTTAGGTGTAGTTGCATTGTATGTTTTTGAGCCAATCAAGTTTTTTTTTTTTGAAAAATTAAAGATCATTTTAAATTAAATTTTATTGTTATTTGAAAGTTGCAATGCTTTTTTTTTTGAGCTTATAAGCTATGCAATTATTTATATTTTTATTATGTTTGGTTTTGCGCAACTACATGATTTACTGCCACCCCGGTCCATTATATTCCCTTCCATTAAGCACAAATTCTGGATCAATACTAGAATCATTACCTTCATCATCATCGTCGAAACAAGCTGGTTGAGGTGGGGGTGGATGTGCAGCTGCTAGTTGGGGCGGAGGTTGTTGTTGTTGTTGTAGCGGTTGTTGTTGTTGTGGTGGTGGTGGCGGCGGCGGTTGTTGTTGTGGCGGTGGTAATGGTAATTGCGATGATGCGTGCTAAAAAAAAGCCAAAATAAACGATTATCAAAAAGTAACTCAATAAAAAGATAAATCCATTCTCTTTGAAGATTATTTTAAAATATAAAGGAAAAAGGGAAAAGAAAATGAAATTGAGAAAAAGAAGTAAGAGAAAAAAGAGAGAATGTGCTTTTGTTTTTAGATTTTTAGTTAAATAAATATAATTTGATCGCGTATATTTATGTTGAGTTGTATGCTATAATATTTATTAAAAAAATTTGGAAAAGAAAATACCCATATTATATGTATTTAATTTTTTTAATATTAATAATTACCATTTTTTTTTATATACGTTAAGGACGTTAAAAAGGACTATTATTCAATTTTTATTTTGAGAGTAATTCCTAGTACGAACGTATATAATATTTGCAAAGACGAATTGTATTAATTAGTGTTTGGAAAAAAAATGCAAAAAAAGAGAGTGTTGGTTTGTAGAAAGTAATGGAAGAGTCTGATTTGTAAAGTTATTATTCCAGCTTTTGTTTTTTTTGGTTATAAACATGACATGAACGAAAAATATAAGCTTTTTATAATGTTTTTACGTGACCATGGTGCTACAATTTTGTCACCGCTACCGTGACACTAGTGATACAATGAAAAAACTTAAAATTTTTATAAAATAAAAAAATGGAAAAGAAAAATATGCAAGCTGCATGTATTAGAAATTGCATTGTAAATTGTAATGTTTTTAATAATACATAATTATTTATTTGATAATAATGTAATGTTACACCACGTTTTGCATGTATATACATTTCCCTACTTACCACTACATGCTAATAATGATAGCAGTAATCCTGAAATTTACAAATAGCAATAGTAAAATATACTGTCACCACCCCATTAAATTTACGCAAAAGTATAGTAGATGGTGTGCAGTTTAAAGCTTTTTTCTCTACTTATTTTGTTATCGAGCATATATGTACATTTTGAAAATCAACTATTTGTTCAATTTTTTCAATATGAAATCTTCATAGCTCTAACCACACGCCATATACCATCTTTTCGCGTAAATGAAAAAATTGAAAATGGTATTTTGTAAATATAGCACAATCAATCAATACATATTATTTTGTAATAGTAAATGCATAAAATTTAGGCGTAAGATTGTCGGGCTAAAACAAGTGTTATTTGTCAAATGACAATTTCCTAAACAAAAAAAGTCATTTCAATGAATGAATGGAACTTTCTTTTTCAACAAACAGTGGATGACCTTGTGTCACAGAACAAAGAAAATATTTATTTATTAAAAAAAAATCTTAAAAATATACACAAGAAATTCTTGGAATTGTTAACTTCTTGCATGGCTTTCCTTTTTGAATTTGTATAACATTATAACATTCGATTATTTTTAGTAAATCATATATATTTAACAGATGCAGGGAATTATTGAGTAAGAGATAAAGAATACAAATGACGAAGCTTGTAATTTTTTATAGTTGTAATTGTTACATATGGCGTCAAAGGAAAGACACAACAGATAAAATTAATATTAAGAATTTTAATAACTAAAATCTAATTTGGACTTATTACCTTTGTAATAAGCTCTATCCTTTTATTTGCTGTAATTGTATTATTGCTTTTACATCATTTTAATTCTCGCACCTTATATTTTAAAATTCGTTTACTTCCAGATAAAGTGCCTTCAAATAAAACAAGTTTATTCAATTCCCAAAAATGTGAACTCTGATTATTTATTGAAAATAATAAATTAACTAGAAAAGAATGTTAGATGGATTGAGTAAATAAATGTCTAGCGTTGAAATTATCAATCCAGGAGCAAAAGTCATAAACCTGCAACCAGGCTTGAACTTTAGCTAACTCTTAAGGAATTCGTCTTAGTTTGTCAACACAAAGCAATATTGAATGGTGCTAATTTAGTTACAAAGCCAAGAAAATAGCAATTGGGTTAGGAATTCCTGAAGGAACATTAGTATTTTCTACTGGACGACTTGGCAGATTTAAAAATCATGATTGGAATCCATCAAATAAACTTCATGGAGAAACATCACCATTATTGAAAATTAAATGTGGAAATTTTCTGGTGGTAAAAAGAATAAAGATTTTTCAGCCGGATTACATAAATTGAGTAATTGGGAAATTTGGAAAGCCAAGATGTTTTAAAAATATTAACATAAACAACCCACCAATGACATGTTGTTATAATACTAAGTTATGGATGCTATCCACTGTTTTTCAAGACTGGATTCAAGTGTTTAACGGTAACTTGTGAGTGTTAATAATGATTGGTAACATAATTTGCTTTTGTGAGAAAGCAAGGTTTGAACTAATGTTAGATAACTAGCGAGTGTTAATAACAATTAGTAATGTTATTTGCTTTAGTGAAGTATTGTCCAAAGCCCAATTAGAAATACTAGAGGTGGTAAAACGTAAGGCTGTTAAACAAGTTGCCAAACAAAAATAAACGACTGAAAATAAGTAGGCCACAAAAGAAACTTTCTGAGCTTTGCAAAAGGACCATCTTTATTTATCCTCTACCATCAAGCGTGTTTTACAGATTTACAGGTACAAGAAAGAGGCAGTAGGCAATAACCAAAGTATATTCATAAACTAATTTAATTAACGAGCACCTGAATTATTGCAATTAGCTGACAAGAGTAGCCCAAAAGTTAAGCCACAATTAAATAGTCGGCGTCAACAAAAGGCTATCTTGCACTATTCAAAATTCATTATGATGTAAATTAATATAATGATTACCAATACTACCATCATTATTATTTTATTAATGTTAATATTATTCATGAAAAATAATGACACATTTCTTTTAGGAAACAAAATTTTAGGATCTAACCCTATTTCTTTTTGGAGCAATATGATTGTTCACATCAGAAAAAAGTCTTTAGGTACTAATGTAGAAGAAATTTCCAAACACTTGTATGCTAATGAAGATCTTTGTAGTGAAATAATTTAGATTTAAAGATATTATTGAAAAGACTATACTTTATAACGATATTAGATTAAAATTGGATGAAGTTTAGGATAATGTCATTGAAAAGGATATTTCGGAGAGGAAGAAAGAGGATTTCATCATGTTAAAAAAAATCACATTAGAAGATATTATACCTTCCTTTATATGAATGAGATTCAATCAAACGACTTTTCTGATAATTAAAGATCTTTTAATAAAAATAATATAAGGACTTCATCAATACCATATTAGTGATAAATGGGATCCAAAAATGTTACTTCAAAAGGGCCCAGGATTCTAAAGCCAAGCTAGAAAAAAGGCAATTATTAAAATTTCAAATGAAAATTTTTAATTTTATATTGGATTGATTACAAAAACAGTCTTATGAATTTTTATAGATCCGTATTTGATGATAAATGTTATAACACTAAATAAGCTATAGCCATTGTGAAAATTAAAGATACTGGTGAATTGGTTGGTGATTATAATTCAGTTGATTGGAATATAAAAAGAAAGATCTCGGATGATATTTATTATATTGAAACAGACAAGAGTTTATTTTCAAAACCTGATGAAAACCAAATAATGATCCAATATTAAGTAGAGTTAAATGATTGGTGAGTGGAACTGCGGATAATATAAATTTTTGGGATAACGAGCATTGTTGGTATTATTGTTTAGTTCTAATGGACACTTTGATCTTGATCCTTATAATTATTGTAAAGAGAATTTGGATCTTTAAAAAAAAACAGACAAACTAATTAATAGGCAAATGCGCGCGCAGTCAATTATAATAAAAAAATTTGATTGAAAATATATATCACTTTCTAATGTGAGGCTGATAATAAAATTTTGGTACGTAACACAAATTATTTATTGATTATGCACATGATGCATCACATATCGCATCATGTTACTATTTTTTTTATCAAATATTACTGAAAACATTTTAAATATAGATAAATTGTTAATAAATTTATATTAATGAAATATAAAACTTAATATTAATCAAAATATCCGTTAGAGAGAGATTTCAAATAGTAAAAAATTGGGAGTAAATATATATAGAAAGATCCATTATTATTACAAGCCAATTTTGAACAAAATAGCTTTGACAAAAAATGTTCCTTTCTCTTTAATGTTGGCATCGTTGTTGTTGTTATTGTTAAACAATTCACCATTAAAGTTATAACTCTATAACTCTATGAGGTGATAATTGATAAAGGCGCAAAAGTATTGTTTATTGATGCTCTTGGTGAAGATGAAATTGAGTTTTATGTGTTGATACATATCCTTTAATCCACCCAAAAATAATTTTTTAATATACTTGTATCAAAATAATATTTAATATATTTTAGTAATGAAAATTAATAAACAAAATTAAAAAGTAATTGAAAATTAGTTATTGGTTTATTTGCTTTGAGATTAATTGAATAATAAATCACCAAGAATTTTAGCATCGTCACCTTCTTCATTATTATTTTCGTTGTTTTTCATTCTTGGAAAAAAAACGATGATAATTAAAAGAAAAATTATATTTCGATTAAAGACTGATGACCACCAATTAATATTAATATTAATATTAATATTAATATACTTTTTTCGATTCCGAAATCAAGTATCCTCCTCTCTCGCCTTCAGATAATTTAATTATAAAACATATACACACGAACACATGCATACATTTAGCTTTAAAGTGTGATCTTTTTAAAGATAAAAATTAGTTAGTGTCGGTAAGCATTTAACCCCCATCAACTCATGTGAATTGCGAGAGTAATATCCATCAGGCTCCGAATGAAGCAAAATCTATTTCTAATTGTTTTTACTGTAGAGTATATTAGTTGATATATTAGGAATTTTAAATAAAAACTCCTGTTTGTGTTTAAATTTTAGATTAGGTGATTCGGTTCGGTTCAAAATTCATGGATTCTTGAATATCTAACAATTGGCCTCAGATATTAATATTATGATGCATCAATTGTTACAAAGGAGGGGTTTAAATAAATCTTGGGGAAAAATGTATAATGTCAAAATTCAAATAGTCACTTTAAAGAGATGTAATTACAGTATTTAGCTAGAATACTGTTTAATTAATTAATCCTGGCCATTAAGGAAGAGGTGGAGTGGCTGTGTGTGAATGCAATATTTTTATATTTTCATTCGTTCGTTTGTTCGTTCATTCATTTATATACATATAAATGAGTAATATTACGTTACTAGGTGAACGAATAAATTGAATCAGAGTTTGACAAGCCAAACTATAAATTGCTTCCATTGGTCAATCACGAATGTCCTCACTATCGAAAAAAAGCCACCAAACTAACATTCCACCATTAATTATGGGGTTTCTCCCCCGAATTTCCAATTCCTCTAGAAAGGGCACTGGATAGTTTTTCCCATTATAGAAAGCTATTACAAATATTTCGAGCAAGCATCGATGTCACAGTTTCACAGAGTCTAATATTATAAATTCAAATAAACTATACATCACTAATTATGATATATACTTCTGTACTTGATAATAATAATTCATGCTCAACATGATTTATATTAACAATTTTATTTTTGAAGAACTTGATGCTATTATTTATCAAAATTAATGGATATTCATTTTTAGGTAATATACTCAAGACAACCTTTGTTTCCATTATAGAGCTTCTGCACCGTATTTAGAACTAATATCCACAAATGTTACACTGCCCTCCATTGAACTCGCCTCCATTAAAGAGAAAATGTTTATCAATATAGTAATAATCACCACCCCTTCCACAATTGGGGCAAGGTTGTCTTGGTTGCGGTAGTGGTACCGCTGCTAAAGGTGGTGGTGGAGGTGGAGGTGGCGGTGGAGGTGGTGGTGGAGGTGGTGGAGGTGGCGGCGGCGGCGGTGGTGGTGCTACTACTAGAGAAGGTAGCTGTGTTGCTGGAGGAGGTGGAGGTGGAAGTGGAGGTGGAAGTAGGTGAGGTGGTGATGATGATTTTGATGGTAAAGATGATGATTTTGATGATGATGATGATGATGATGACGATGATGATGATGATGATGATGACGATGATGATGATTGTGATGACGATGATGATGGTGATTGTGATGATGATGATGATGGTGATTGTGATGATGATGATGATTGTGATGATGATGAATGCGATGATGATGATGATGATAATTGTGATGATGGTGATGATGGTGATGATGGTGATGGTGATGGTGATGGTGACGGTGGTGATGGTGGTGATGGCGGTGATGCCTAAAAAACCAAAGTTAAGTAAATAAACCGTTATTCTCACTTTACCAAAATTAACTAGACCATTATCAGAAATAGCTCAATAAAAATATTGTAATTCTGATGAAAAGGATAAAGATGAAGGTAAACCATTCTCATTTAAAGATTATTTAAAGTTACGAGGGAAAGGAAGGAAAAGAAATTGAAGAAAGGGGAGGTGAGAGAGATAATTATATAAAGCAGGATGAAAGAAAGAAGTAAAGATAATTTTTTGCGACAATTTACTTATTTGTTAATCTTTGTTAACAATTTTATAGTTCAATGAATAAATTATATTTATGTTGAGATGGAATGTAATATTTGGAAAAGAAATGCATATATATCTATTTATTTTTTTAAAATTGTTTATTTAATTCAAAAAAAAAAAAACTTACCATTCTTTTTATTACTTGACGTGTAATGTTATTATTTGAAGTTGAAATTATAAAAATAAATAAAATTTAATTTTCACAATTATGAAAGGCTATATTCTACGTGTGGTTGTGTGTATGTGAAATTGAAATTATAAAATAAATTTCACGATTGTAAATTGTTATATCTATGTGTGTATGATGTTGTTGGTATGTGAAATTGAATTTAATTTAATTTTCAAGAGTGAATTGCCTATATCTATGTGTGTATGATGTTGTTGGTATGTGAAAATTGATAAAATTATAATTTAATTTTCACGATTGTAGGATGTTATATATATATTACATATATATATATATATATATACCAATGATTAGGTAGGTATGTACTATATTCAAGATGATATTATATTAAAGATGTGAGTATAAGTTTTTAAAGAAAAAAAAAGTAGAGTATAAAAGAAAACATTTGTTAATGCCCTATTACTACTTATTACTTGATTTTATATTTGTGACCCATTTCTATTAATTTTGGTCCCAAAAATTGGTCTTAAAAAAATACCCCCATTAAACAACAAAAACCCATCACCATGTTCTGTATAATTCGCATGTCTATATTTATTAGTAATAACAAGTATTTGCAATGTGTATGTATATTTAAATGTTAGATGCTATTGTTATTAATACATCATTTCATTTTATTGTAGAATATTGCATGGATGTCCTACTGAAAACTCTAATATCAAGTCAATATGAGATCATTTATCTAGACCAAATCTTTGCTGATTTTTATTAGAAGCAATTTCTTTTGATCAAAAAGTCCATCAGCAATGAAGCACAATATATGGTTGTTTTATGTACTACATGACCATTAATCTTTTTCATTATATTTTAGATCACTAAATACGACTAAAAATTAGATGACTTGTATATATAGGAGCAATTTGCTCTGGTCAAAAATTTTATAGTAAAACATTTTAATTATATATTTATCGATTTTTTTTTTACATAATATCACTAAATGTGTAATATTTCAGACTACTTGATTTGGCTGAAACTGGATCTACATGTCTTAGAAGAGGCTTCATTGGATCAAAAATGTTCTTTAAAAATCACACAATTTATATGATCAAAAATTTGTTAAATTATCTCAAGTAAAGAGCTCCAGTTGACCCAGATCAACATATATATTAAACAGCAATTATATTATATTATCTTATCTTATTATAATATCAATTATTTCTTTTTTCAAAAAAAAAATGTAACTATAGTTAAACAATGTTAATATATTTGGCAGTGAACAATCTTGTTACGCGACCACCAAGGAAAAACAAAAGAAAATATTATTTTGCTAGAGATACTATCTATTATCAATAATAATTAATACATTTATTCACTTTTTCAAAAAAAAAAACTGGTACAATCTATCTGGTAATGAA